TCGCCCAGCTGGCAGCCAATACTAGATCATTGATTTTACTGGTATGTAATTTGTGTGCTCTAATGTCACTAAAGAATTTTAAAAAAAACACAAAGTTTTATAAGTACAAGCTTAGTTTATATAAATGTCACATTTAGTTGTTTTTCTCTTTTGAGAACCCCCATGCAGTATGTATGACAAAGACAATTTTGTTCAATTTTTCTTTTCACTGTTGAATCAAATCCCTGAAAAGGCACTGACTTAGGATGATTTAGGATTCCTGAATTTGAAAGCCACCTATTCAAGAATGCCATTTAATGTGAAACAGAAGGTGGTCTTAAGCAGGTTTCCTGTAATGAAAGAAGCTGTTTAAACTTAAAATTTAACCTGCTTTTGAATTGTTACAGCATTCTGGAATATTATTAATTTCTCCATTCCCAGCTTGTAACACAAAAAGTATATCAGAAAACACCTTAGCTACATTTTCTTTAAATGAAGCCAATTAAACCAGAACATAAATTGCATTGTAATTACTTCAGCCGTTCTCATCTCTAAAAATCTTCCCTATGGCAAGTTTCTTTCTTATGTGAAAATGGAACAAAACTGTTGTTATGGAAACTGAGAGATGCTGGGACTTGGCATAATATGCCAGATATTGGTTAGGTCTATTTGAATGGCTATATCTTTTATGCAAATTTCAGAATATTCATTTCTGTGTTCTTCGTTGGAGGGAATGATAAGACAGGCTGAAATATTGACAATAACTGTGTAGATTACCTGCCCTAATACATACTGGTTAGTCATGAATGTTTTAAATACAGTTACATAAGGGAATTTGGGAGAAAAAAAGCAGAACGTTGTTATTTACGTTGGTTGCTTATTTTTTCTTGTAGCTCCTACGGAAGCGGCACATTGGAAATGATATTGTAACAATCGTTTTCCAAGAGCCTGGAGCACAGCCGTTCAGCCCAAAAAACATCCGATCCCACTTTCAGCACGTTTTCGTCATTGTCAGGGCGCATAACCCCTGCTCTGACGGTGTCTGTTACAGGTGTGTATCGGTGCCACAGCAGTGGCTCGGTGGACCTTGGCAGGTTGTCACACAGAGGCCCCATCCAGCTCTGCTTTCTAAAGTGGCAATGGGAAGTCCATTACTATTCATTTTTGTCTTTAAACTGTACATGCGGATGGCCGAATTCACATGATGATGTCATCTGATGGCATTGACCATCCCCCAGACATGTTGGTTAGACACCTGCTGTTTCCATTTGCACCTCCTCCTTAGGTGATGTCCTTCATTCCTACCATCTGGTCACCCGCTAACTAATTACTCATATTGCTAATTATAATTTTCTCTTGGCATATCTAAAGCAGAGAAGAATGATTATAATAAGTAGAGAAGAGAAGTTCATTTTTTAAAAACCTATTGTTATTATAAAAGCCCAGACCCTTGCCTCAGACTTAATGTGATTCACACTGATGCTTCTGACTACAAGCTTAGAGGCATTTCTATGCTTTATTAAGCATTTGTTGAAATTGTTTCAATGTCGCTTGGATCTTCAAAGAATTTTTACACCCTTGAGTTTTTCTAGCCACTCCTAAACTACTAGGGATGTGAATTTATAGGCATCTTTCATTAGGAGTACTTTGGTGGGAAAGTTGAGAGATGCATTGATTTCTATTCATTTTATTTAAATCTGACTTTCCCTAAGCAACATAGCTAGAGGAATTCAAATGCTTTTAATCGTTTAAAACCTCTTGGTCCCAACTTTCTCCACCATGAACATTCATATATTTATTTACGTGCACCTACCTGGTACCGTAACTGTGGAAAGTAGAAAAGTTTCCTAAGGAACACCTTGTTCTAACAGTGTAGAGAAGTGTGGAGTCATTATAGGCTGAAGTGAAGGATATTTCACTGAGAAGATGGGATTTGGTGCGTGTTTAAAGCACAAATGGATGGCATTCAGTGGGAAAAGAGAAATTATTGTAGGCGTGCCCAGTGGTGTGGACAGAAGCAGAGAGAGCAGAAAGAGGGTGGGAAGCACCGTGAGAAGGCTGCTAATGTGGGAAAGGTCACTAGGCAGTGCTAGGCCATCAAGGTGACACTGCATAAATAGAATTTTAGAAAAATTTATCTGATATTTCCATGCAAGATAATTTGTACACATAAAGATAAACTTGGAGGTTGTTGCTGTCCATTTGCTTTTCACAAGTTCTTTGTCCGGCCCTTATCAGATACGTGCCAGGCACTATTCTAGGCTTTGGGATGTAACAGGAGCACAAAAAGAGAAAAATCCCTATGATGGATCCAGAGGTGAGGTCCTGAAATAATGTGGTGTTATATCTCCCTGGGGACTGGAAAGTTGAGATAGGAAAAAGTGACTGATTCAGAATAATTTCAGAGGCCAGTTAACCTTGAATAGTCATGACATCACCAAGAGCGCAGAAATCAGTTAATAAATCAGCATACTAAAGCTTATCCTATGACTGATAAGAGAGCCCTCCAGCCTGTTATTTTATTTGTATCATTGCAATGAGCTTAATTATCTGGTCCCAGTTGATGGAGCAGATTAGAAGCAACACAATCTAAAAGGAGAAGGAGCAGTCAGTGGCAAGTACATACTGAAAACATAAGTACGTGATTACTGATAGAGGAGGTGCAAAAAAACTGTTCACATCCAAGATGCAAATTCAGTAAGCATAGAAGTCTGGAGGCATTTGGTAGTGCCCCCCTTATTTCCAGGGGATATGTTCCAAGCCCCCCAGTGAATGCCGGAAACTGCGGCTAGTGCCAAATCCTATATATAGTGTTCTTTTCGTATAGACATACCTATGATAAAGTTTAATTTATAAATTAGAGTAAGAGATTAACAACTAACAGTAAGAACAGTTGTAACAATATATTTTAATAATAGTTACGTGAATGAGGTCTCTCTTTCTCTGGAAGTATCTTACTGGTGCTGTACCACGGGTGATTGAAACCACAGAAAGTGAAATTGTGGATAAAGACAACTACCGTATACTTCACTCGCCCCTGGGACTTCACTTTGTAAAAACACAATGTAGAGTGTCATCATTTTTCAACAACTAATGAATTAATAGATCCAGGCATTGATCATCAAAGGCTGTAAATACCACAAAAAGAGACAAAGGTGCCTCATGATGGAAGAATACATCCTCATCTAGGAATTAGTCTTGCCCCTTTCCCCCACTAAGTTAAATCTGAATCTGTTCAAGCCTCTAAACAAGCCAACTTATAATAGGAACTATAAAGACAGAGGAACATGTTCGTAGTTGACAAAATTCAGACTGTGGACAACTCTATATAAACAGTCCAATTTCTTCAACAAATAAATAGAAGAAATATAAGAATGAAAGAAATGGAGGAGAATCTGTAGAATAAAAAGATTTTTAAAGATGATTGAATTAATTGCAATTCATGGACCTTATTTGGATCCCAGTTTAGACTATGAGAAAAATCTAAGGATTTCTTATAGAATTAGAAATTTGAACATCAACACACTATTTGATGAAATTAAAGAATTATTAATTTTAAAACTAGGATAGTAATAAGTAGTTATAAGAATGACCCTGAGTCTTTAAAACATGTTAAATTGTGGTCAGTAGCTATATTTAGGAAGGTGGAAATATATGTTACTCCTCTCAGAAAGGTTTCTCTGTACCCAATAATTAAAATGTAATAAATGTAAAAGGAGTCAGTATGAGGTAGTGCAAAAAGCACTTGGAATTAGACCAGATTGTTAAACTTAGATCTTAAATTTCCCTTTCTGTGCAGTGGAAAGTTGCTTGACATCTACTTAAAATCCCATAAGTAAAGTATCTAGCACAGACAGGGAGGGAGTGTGGTCTGTGCACATGGAATGTCCGTGTTTATCCTCTTTCTTCTCTTAAAAAAAAGAATTTGCAAGCTTAAACTAAGGAGAAAAAAAATTAAAATGGGTCAAGTGGTGGAAATTTCTTTCGGAAGTTCTATTCCAAGCTGTAATTAATCAGCATCCCTATTGTCCAGTGCAGCTGACCTCTGTAAGGCAAGAATCTGAATATGTCACTCTTTGTGCTTAAAACCACTTAGGGAAAAGTTCAGAGTCCCAGCCCTGCATACTGCATGGGGTCCTTCAGGTCTGGCCTCTCGTCTCTCAGTTTCTACTGGCACCTCTACCAGTTCCCAGCCTACCCTGCCTCACTCTTGTGGAGCTAGTTAGCACCCCCAGAGCGTGCGTGCTCTGCCCCTCCTTTCTGCACACGCTGCTCTCAGGCTAGAATGTCTCTTCTCACACACTCCCCTGCCTCTCCCCCATCCAATGAATCCCTGCTCTTCTCTTCTATGGGAAGACTCCCCGGTCCTCCCAGGACTGGATAAAGGGCATTTCCTAAGCGTTGCCAGTAGCACCCCGTGCTTCACCAGCAGAACACTCAAAGCACTAGGTGTAACCCCCACCAGACTTTGAGCTTCTGGAGTGCTGAGCCCTTGACATACTCAGCCTTGATCCTCAACATTAGCACAGAGCCTAGTGTATAGTAGGTGCTCAGAGAGTGTTTGATGATTTGGTGCCTGAATGCTATTAGAAATCGAGAGAATGGTTAGCACGTGTTTGTTCTACCACTGATCTTTCCTGTCCTTTGCCCAGGTCTGCTCTCTAGGAAAGCTCCCCAAGCCAGCATTCTGACCCAGGCTCCAAAAAGGGGAAATTTCCCTCCACTATTTTGATGTTGTCTGTGTCAACTTCCTTTTAAATTTTGGACTAGGAATTGTTGTTTACTGCTGTTTCCATTGTGCTTCCAAAGTTCAAGTGTTTTAACTTTGAAATTATTAATACTTTTTTCCATTTAGACTTATGTTCAGATGTCTCTGGAGCATTCCCATGTACCCCCTTAAAATTGGCTTTGAGTATCAAAACTTGTTACTTCATCCAAGGTCTTTAATGCCAACAAATATTACATGGCCCAGATGAACTAGAAACAGCCTCATGGTGGTCTCTTCCCAGGTGACTCATGTGGATGGTCCCTTTTAGCAAGCACCTCAGGAGTGGAAGGTTTCAGAACATTTCCTTAGAGGGAATAAGTGTGGTCTTGTCATAGAGCACTCTTTGGCTGTCCAGAAGCTTCCATTCCAGTCCTGGCTCTCTTTAACAACTCTGGGCAAATCATTTCACTTCTCTGCCTCTGTGTCCTGGAGAAGTGAAGAATTTGTACCAGCTGTTCAAACGGAGGTTCAGGGATATGTCAAACCACAGAGTAAACATAGGACACTTTCCTGATCCTTCAATGTGCTTAAAGATTTTGGAAAGAGAACATATTTTTATGTTAAAATGAATACAAATATTTTTCAGTAAAATTGCAAAATCGAGGTGAGTTTTAAGATGAAATGCAAGATTTTATTGGAAGAGTCTGAGGAACACTGACTTCTCCAAGTTTCCTTCCTGGGCTAACTTTCCATAACTGTTTTAGCCTCTGAGCTTCTGTCGTCTAGATAACCATCTCCACTAGAACATTCTAGTCCTCAACAATGCTGGGTAAATAAAGCATGGCTAAAATTTTAAAGAATGTATTATTTCTAAAAAGATACATTATTGCAAAGTAGGCCAACATAAATGTAGCCAAACAAGGCCCTTTGGAATCTGCTTTTAAAAATAGCAAGAACCATTTATAATTAATATATCTTAAGTATTTATATATAGCAGACTAAGATTCTAGAAAGGCTCATTTTCTTAAGGAGACAAACTGTTTTATTTAGCTTAAACCAGGCCTTGTTATCAAGAGTTCAGAATTTGTGGCATCTAAATTAATGAGCTTTTAACCTTGTAGAAACCTTGAAAGTTAGGTTTCTCCAAAACAGAATCCCTTATTTGAAAAGAACATTCCAGGGTATCATCTTCCTCATCGTCTTTCTGTGAGGATTCTATTTCTGATGATGCAAAGCCGATTTTAATGTCTGTATCATTTACCTCCCTACCACAGTGAATCATTGATAATTATATGTTAAGAATCCAGTTCTTTTCCTCACAGTTTATTCTAGATGCTTCTAATTATTGGTAGGTTTTTGGTATATGTTTGTCTAAAGTTCTATCAATTAGTGATTAGATCTGTAGAAAGCCAGTGAGTTTAACAGGCACGTGGATGGAGGGTGCACATAACCACATATCCCCCCAACCCACCCCTAACCTTTTCTTCTCCTTCTTTAAAATAAAACCACAACTGTTTTCTGGGTAAGAATAACAATTTCAGTGAAATTAGCAAGAAAAGAAATTGCCAATTTTAAAATGAAAGGTATTACATATTTTTGTATTCTTACAGGATTCCTCTTAGAAAATCTAGTAAATCTGGATTTCAGCATCTTTTGCTTGACTTTAAAAGAAAAAAAAAATAACATGATCAAATTAAAATTATACAGCTGTCAGCATTCAAGCCAGACAGTTCACGATAGACAAAAAAAATTGCCTTTCTAATACATAGCGGTATAATTAAGCCATAATGCATGCGGAGGTTTCTGTGAATTCTCTTCTCCAGTTAGAAGATGGAGTGTTGCTTGCCACCTTTCTTCGTCATCAAGTGAACTTTTTTTGTTTTTTTAAATAAGCTTGTGAAAACCAACAAATAGGCCATCCATGGCATCTTAGGACAGTGTAGATTTTCCATTTCACCAAAAATATAATTTATATCCCGAGCTTGCCTATTTTTATTTATTTTATTTTCACAAGGAATAATTATTTTTTGAAAAGCAAAGCTGAATATCTTAAAGCAAACCCTGCTTAAAATACAGAAAAAATGAAACAGAGCTCTTCAATTTTATTTGAAAGGTACATACTCTCTGATGATGTCTTTTCTAGTTCAGAAGAAACAGACTTTTACATTGCTCCTCTGAAACTTAAAACAATTGGGTAATTTACTCACTTTTAAATAATTTGGAAGGAGGGATGTTTGGTATGTTAAAATCATCATTTCCAGCCATGTCATACTCTGCTGAAATCTTGGAACATGATGTAAAACACATTGCTCTCCATTTCCATTTAACTTCTGCTGTTTTAGGAGAACTTCATTTTGTTCCTTTTGAGGTTAAAAATAATAGGTTATCCTAGATGTTCATATAGTCCTTTTCTTAGGCCCATTTTTAGTAAAATATTAATATATGCAGAAGAAATGACTGCAACAGGCTTTCTTATATCTTGCTTAAAGGAAGGGGGAAAGTAAGACATTTTTCTCTCAAATAGGTTGTCAGAGTCAAATACCAAAAGTAGAGAATTTGGACTAAAGAATAGCTCAGTTTTAAAATATGATTTTAAAGCACTGTTGCTGTTACATAAAGATCACACTCATTCTGTTACTCAAATTCCAATTTTCATTTTAAACTTATGCTTTAATCTGGTTGTGTAATGCCTCACACTTAGGCCAACGAATATTTAATTTTATTCAGATTTAATATACTTCTTTTATGTCCTGCATCTTCTGATATTTTTATTATAAACTATCTACTTAGAGGCATTCTATCTAAAATGAAGAACACATTTGTGTTCTTATAGAATCTGCTTATTTTGAAAGGTCACGTGATTATAGTAACCTCCCTTGGAAACAGTCTGTAGGTATTTAAAATGTCACATGCAGAATATTCCAGTAAATCTGTTTTCTCATGGAATTATGATCAGTTTCCTATCTGTTAAAGAAAAGAAAGTTAATGCTTCAAGCTTTTGGGGTTTTTATGAGAGTTTTTGGCCTAGAGAAAACATTCATGTTCTGTGAATCCTAATTGTGGTTGAATGAAAAAGTGAATGTGCTTATATTAAGCAGAATGTTTGTTGTTTCTTGTGGAAAAATGAGCAGCTATTTTGCTCCAAAGGTATGCCTTTGAGAAAGTGTATTTTATTCTCAAGTTGTGAGACTGAGACATATTAACGTGCCTCTTCCTCTTTGGTCTTTGCTTTGTCTCTCAGTGTGGCCGTCACCAGGTCCAGAGATGTGCCTTCTTTTGGGCCTCCCATCCCTAAAGGGGTCACTTTCCCTAAGTCAAATGTGTTCAGGGACTTCCTTTTGGCCAAAGTGATTAATGCAGAAAATGCTGCTCATAAGTCGGAAAAGTTCCGGGCCATGGCGACTCGGACCCGCCAGGAGTACCTGAAAGATCTGGCAGAAAAGAATGTCACCAATACGCCTATCGACCCTTCCGGCAAGTTTCCATTCATCTCTCTGGCCTCCAAGAAGAAGGAAAAGTCTAAGCCATACCCAGGAGCTGAGCTCAGTAGCATGGGAGCCATCGTGTGGGCGGTCCGGGCCAAAGACTACAACAAGGCCATGGAAATAGACTGTCTTTTGGGGATCTCCAATGAGTTCATTGTCCTCATTGAACAGGAAACAAAGAGTGTGGTTTTCAATTGTTCCTGCAGAGATGTGATAGGGTGGACTTCAACCGACACCAGCCTCAAAATCTTCTACGAACGAGGAGAATGTATTTCAGTGGAGAGTTTCATTAACGAGGATATCAAAGAGATCGTCAAAAGGTTGCAGGTGAGTCTTTTCTTTCCACTCACTTATATACAGTTTCTCTTTCATAAAGCTTTCAGTGCAGACTACAGCAAGTGACTGAAGCTCGTACTGTCTTATTAGCTCCTCTGAAAACTCCCTTGATAAGTGAAGCAAACAGTTTATCTCTGGCTTGTGTTTCCCACTATGTTTTGGAATAGTAGCAGAACAAATGGGGCAGACACGTTGTGTGTATGTGTTGTTTGCACGTGACCTGATGCTGCAGCCCAGCCCATCTGGTGGTGGTGTTGAAAAGAGTTGTTGGATTGAGTATCTGCCTCCTCGAGTTGTATAAAGGCAAAATGAGTAGCAGAGTATGGTTTCTCTTTGCTGCCAGCTCCCCGTAGGTTGCTGTTAGAGGTTTCCTTGTAACTTCAGGGAAGGCTTTGAGTTTTTTGGATGCAACAAATATGTTCCTTTTGGCCTAATGAATAGAGACTAGTGAAGGGGAAATAACCAGACTGCTCTTCAGCTGACAGCAGGGTATTCAGAAATAGCCCTGCTTGCAGCGTTTTTCCAGTTCCTTGTCCACCCCTTAATCCCCTATTGCATTAAACCGCAGTATCTTTTATTTCCTCGTCTAGTTTGTTTCAAAAGGTTGTGAATCAGTGGAGATGACTCTGCGAAGAAATGGGTTAGGGCAGCTTGGCTTCCATGTCAACTACGAGGGCATCGTGGCCGACGTGGAGCCCTACGGCTACGCCTGGCAGGCAGGGCTGAGGCAGGGCAGCCGCCTGGTGGAGATCTGCAAGGTGGCGGTGGCCACTCTGAGCCACGAGCAGATGATCGATCTCCTGAGAACCTCCGTCACGGTGAAGGTCGTCATCATTCCACCCCATGATGACTGCACCCCGCGAAGGTAGGTCTGAGCTGGCACCTGTGGGCCTGAGCGCGGAGGGCAGGGTCTGTGTCCCATGGAGAACACAACTTCCTAGCCGGTGGGGAAGTAGTGTGTCATGAAGAGCAGTAGGTCACATGCGGCGCTGAAAGTCCATCGGTGGAAAGTCTGACTCAGGATGCAGCTCCCTTTCCACATGTGGCAAACAGCAGCTGGAGAGAATGGCTAACTGGGACCATTCCCAGGTTTTACATCTCTGATTTATAAAGTTGCCATTACAGATCGAGAAGTCTGGTAATATCCATCTTAAGCATCTTATACCAGTAGCTGAGAAACATTGAACACTTCACATGAAAAGGCACTCAGCATCTCAGACTGTCAGATTTTCTTTTGTGTTCAGTGGCACTCTTATTCTTCTCTATGTCCCATCTGTACCCAATTGCTGTTGAAAACTCAGAGGACTGTTTTGACCCTTGCTGGGCAGCTGAATATGACTTACCAGGCTTTTTCTTAAGTGCATCTGCGTGTGCTGGGAATTGGCTTCAGATGAGCTGGCCCTGCTTGTGATGCTTTGGCGTTTTGGTTCTAGCCTTTTCCCAAAAGGAAAGCCCAGGAGCTCCCTGTCCCTCCCAGCTCCTGCCAAGCCAGCAGCACTATTGAAGATTTAATTTCTCTGTCTCTGGGGAAGCTCCTTGATGGAACAGATTTAATCAACTGTTTTTTGTCCTTGTTGCTAGTTTTTTAAAAATCTATGTTTTTTTAAGCCATTGTTTTCTAAGACTTTCTCTTAAGCTTTGGCAATTCTTAGGCCTTCTAAAACCAAGACAATGTTCTTTATCTGCTTTTCCCCCAAAAAATGACTGGTCCTACACCTGAGCTCTCATAGATTTATGAATATCAGATGGTGAATTATAAATGGTTATGATGAGTTATTTGTGTCCTTTTAAAAGTAAGCAGTGGCTGGGCACGGTGGCTTACGCCTGTAATCCCAGCACGTTGGTAGGCCAAAGTGGGAGGATTGTTTGAGGCCAGGAGTTTGAGACCAGCCTAGGCAACATAGTGAGACCCTGTCTCTACAAAAAATTTAAAATATAGCCAGGCATGGTGGAGTGTGCCTGTAGTCCTAGCTACTTGGGAGGCTGAGGCAGGAGGATGACTTGAGCCCAGGATTTGGAGGCTGCAGTAAGCTTCGATCACATCACTGTACTCCAGCCTGGGTGATGACAGAACAAGACTCTATCTCTTAAGAAAAAAAAGTAAGCAACTATATATATATATATATATATATATATATATATATATATATATATATATATATTCATTTATTTTTTTCAATAAAAAGTAAGTGGCAATAACAATCTAAATGTACTTCAGTTCTTCAAACCAAGTGTTCCAACCAGACTTTGCTGGAGATAGTATTTCCTAATACTGCTTACCTCCTAGAAGGCCCAGGCATCACGTGTGCACATCAAAATATAGTGAAATCCCTTGGCTGATAGTTTTAAGAAGTACTCTCTTTTGGATGACTGGATTTCCCTGAAAATCAAAATATATATTCAGAACTTTTTATGTCAGCTATTTTGGAATGGAGGGAAATATTCGGAAACTGCCCTACACACATACCCTGCCTTGGTTAACCAGGTCTAATGACCCCTATTAGCCTTTTCTGGTTTCCGCAAGCATGTCTTCATTGATGTTAAGCAATGTGCTGAACTGTGATTCAAAAAATATCGCAAGGCAGCTCAGGAAGATGGCTGGGAGCTTACGACACTCTGCAGCTACACTGCACTGCTTCTCTCGTCTCTTTCTCTGCTGTCTCTTGGTCTCTCTTTCAAGTTGTCTTCTTTATTGCTTCTAAACAGGCAGTTATTAACTGGAAAGATAACCAAGCTTTGTAAAGTTTTAACCTTAATTGCATACAATATAAGGAGTAGTAGAAGCTGGTCTATGGACTGTCTACTCGAAAATGCAGCCCCTGGATCTCGCAGTGCCATTTCATCTGTTCCGAGGGCTTTGCCCTTATTTCTGGACTCCCAGGTTTATACAGAGGGGAGGAGAAGGAAATAGATTTGTGTGAATGTGTGTGGAAAGGGCACAACACTACTGATGCTGGAATTGTGAATAGTTGTTACTAGAAAGATGGGTCAGAGGCCTGGCCCTGGACAGATGGCTCCATGTAGAGGAGGGACACTAGGCTATGTCTTCTGTGGAGTGTCCGGTGAAAATAACTAACATTTCCTGAGTCTTTTACTTCAATATGCCAGGTCCTAGAAAAAGCACTTTTATATGAATTAGTACATTGAATCCTTACAGCAACCCTGGGAAGTAATAGTATTGTTATTTCTGTTTTGAAGAAAACCGAGGACTCAGGAAGGTTAGTAACTCCCTAAGCTCCTCTGGCCAAGGTAGGTCTAACTTCAGAGTCTGAGACCCTGTCACTTAGTATGCCTGGCACACAGATCCTTTCCTTATACACCAGAATAGGCAGTGATATGCTGGTAAATTGGCTTTCTCTTGGGGAAGAAGCCTTGATCTGTAGTGTTTGCTGATTCCCGTGGCGCAGGTACTCCCACTGTGGCTAATCTCGCTACCAACCTGGCGTCCCTGCAGGCAGAGTTGGGGTAGATGGACGATCCGGTCCACCACGCCACTGAGTGGATGTGTCACATTTGCTTAGTCACCCAACACCACTGTGAAGCACTCGGGCCATCCTCTTGCTGGGATGGGAGGCCAGGGGAAGGGTCAGTGCCCTACACAGCCCCGTGGGCCTGGAGCCACATCTTGCCCCTTTCACTGCAGTTTCCATCTGAAAAGCCACTGTCAGACCTTCTGGGCAGGGAAGGTGGGAGATGCTGGCATTGATGCCTTCAAAGGCCTGAAAGCCAGCTCCCGCCTCCTGCCTTTAGAAATGACTTCAAAGGGAACAGTTGCAGCATTAACACCTTGTTATAATTTTCAACAAAATAGGATAATGCTCTTCTGTCATTTTTTTTCTTCTCCTCCGCACTTCACACTCCTACCGCTGTTTTCCTAGCAACTAATTACTCTGTTCTTTGACTAGTCACTCTCTTCTTCCTTGTCAGCCATGACTTTACCCACAAAGCTCCATCGGGAGCCAGGATGGGCCTCCTGGAGGCACGCTACCCCGGCCCTCGGCCGTGCGTGGTTTTAGGGTCTCCAGGACCCGAAGCGGCCACAGGCACCTGGGGACACAGTGACTGTATGTCATACAAACACCCACGGGTTTGTGTGTTCACATGGGAGAGTCATTCGTTTCGAAAAGGCAGCTTTTTAAAAAATATAAAGCCAGTTTAATAATAAAGAAAAAGTGGTGGCCGGGCGTGGTGGCTCACGCCTATAATCCTAGCTCTCTGGGAGGCCGAGGTGGGCGGATTGTTTGAGCTCAGGAGTTCCCGGGCATGGTGGCGCATGCCTGTAGTCCCAGCTACTCGGGAGGCTGAGGCAGGAGGATCGCTTGAGCCCAGGAGTTTGAGGTTGCTGTGAGCTAGGATGACGCCACGGCACTCTAGCCTGGGCAACACAGTGAGACTCTGTCTCAAAAAAAAAAGAAAAAATGGTACTTAAATAACAAATGTAAAATAGGACTCTTGTCCCTGTTCTTAGACCCCTCTATGGATTGCTTCCAAACCACAATTTTTTTTTTAATAGACAAAGGGACAGGGAGAGAACACAAACCTTCTACACCCCAACTATGTGTTGGGCATTTTCCTTTTTATCCTCATGGCAGCTTCATTTCTATTAAAATGATGAAGAGAGTGAGGCTGGGGGAGGGGTTCATTTGCTGCCCAAAGAGAAAACAAAACCAGCTAGCATGACATTGAGGGGAGCCGTCCTGTGGACTTCACCGGAAGTGAGCAGTCCCTTCTGCAGGAGGTACCCAACCTATCACCCCCATCTGTCTCCCCTCTGGAGTAGATGACCAGCGTCAATATATTACTGTCTGTGACCTCTGAATCTTCAACGTCATTCTCTTGACAAGATGAAAACACTTGGGTGACAGATTAAATGTGATGTTCTGGATGGTGTTGCATGGGGCCAACCTTTATTCTGTTGAAGGCCATTAGCCTACAGTTTTTAAGGAAAGCAATCAAGGGCCATTCAGAACGAAGAGCTAAAAACAGACAAGTTACATAAAAAGACCAAATTACCTTTTAGATAAGAAATGGTCTCAAAGTTTTTTCTTCCTTTTAAAAGACCAAGTATTTTAAAGTGCAAAAGCGTACTGCTTCAGAGCTAGAAGGGCTATTAGAAATCTTCTGGTTCAAATCTCTCATTTTTCCGGGGAGGAACTTGGGTTCAAAGAGGTTAATGTGTTTTTTCTAAGCCAGAGTCACGTGGCTTGTAGGGATAGAGCCATCTTCAAACAGAAAACTTTTCTGACTCAAGAGTCCAGTGTTGTGATATTCTATTCAATATACTGGGCCTCCATTTCTCTGTATTTTGTAGTGTCTTAAGGAAAAAAGGAGAGAGTAAGGAGAAATAAGAAATAAGAAAAGAAAAAATTAAAAAGGCTGAAAAATAGAATAAAAAGATGGAGTGGCTTTTCAGTTAGTTTATATAGTTTCAGTGGGTCACCGTTTGTCACTGACATTGTAATTCCTGCTGACCAGACCACAGCTCTTTAAGTGGGTTTTATAAAAGTTGTTGAATTTTCCTTTTTGTCATAGGCTATGCTCTGTGTGAGACCTGATAGTTTCTGTGGGGTTAAGGATGTTTGGGGACTTGGAGTGGTTTAGTTAGTGACTAAAATAAAACTAACCTATAGGTGGATTAATTCTGGGTTTTCAAATCCCAGCTCTGCCACTTCCTGGCCGTGTAAACTTGGGCAAGTTAATCCCCCCAGGCCTCCACGTCATCATCTATAAAGCGAGGATAATGACAGCATCTACTTCGTGGAGATGCCGTAATGCGGCTAGCTTAGTGCCTGGCCCATTGTAAGTTATAGGTATTGTTGGAGTTACCATTCTTCAACATCAAGGTTTACTTAGAATAAGATAAAAAATCCTTTTGTGAAAGTTTATGCATGGCATTGAAAGGCAGCTTTTCTCTGTGTTCTTCAGTGTACTGTCCGCTTCCTGATTCTATGTGTCATTCTTCAGTTTTGCAGAGGAAAGTAAGAGACCGGGAAGCGAGTGGGTGGTTGCCCTCACCACGAAGGGCCATCAGAAATGGCAGGTGCTGAGGTTCAGTTCTCTGGAAACGTCTTTGCTTTCTCCTTCTCTGTGAATGAGTCTTTGCTCCGTCTCTAGGCTTTATCATATTACATTCCACTGATGTAGGATACACAGAATGTTTCTAGCTATGTGTTAAGCATGGTGGAAATGAAATATAGACTATAAGGAAGACAAAGTCTTTGGCTAAAGGGATGTTTTAACCAGTTTGAGTATTAAATGTTATGCAGTTTAAAAGACTGCTTCAAATAGTTTTTGAAGAAGAAAGCTTAGCAACTCTCAATTCCAAATCTCTCATTTTAGAAGAAACAAAGGCCCAAAGGTGAAAGCAGCTTGTCTGTTTGATATTGTATCACTTGCCTGGTGCAAAATCACTGGAAGCAGCTTATGAAGTCACCTGTGCAGTATTGCAAGATAAAACCTCGGCACAGAACTTTTGGGGGAGGGTAGTGAAAGGAAAACGGCCTAGGTGGAAATTTTGGGGAAGTTAATGCCCAGAATACTTTATTATCAGGCTCTGTACATGTGCTGGTTCCTAGCCACTAATAGGAAGGGGCGTGGATGATAACAGATGATAGCATTTGTTGAGCTTCCTAAGTTAAAACCAACCGTTGCTGAGGAGAAGCAAAGCTAGTCCTGATTTTGAGCAGGAGAGAAATTTGTTGTGGATTACTGCAAATTTTTATCAGTATTCCTTTGGCAGAGTATAACATTTTTGCATTGCATATACAAATCCAGAGTACCAGCTCTTTATATTTAATAATATGCCCTATTTAGTCAGAAATGAAAGACTCCAAACCATACTTTAGTATATCT